GTATATTGTGTGTATGTATTCTGAAATCCTAATAAATCATTTGTGATGGCAGTAATAAAGTTGCATGCGAAAAAAAAAAAAAAACACACAGGAAGCTAGACACAGTGGCATACACCATGGCAAAGCACCCCTGGGCTCAATCCCCAATACAAAACAAAAAGCGGTGTGGGGGGGGGAGGTTGTGGCTCAGTGGTAGAGTGCTTGTCTAGCATGCATGAGGCACTGGGTTCAATCCCTGGCACCACATAAAAATAAAAAAAATAAAAATAAAGGTATTGTGTCCATCTATAACTAAAAAATTTTTGAAAAATTAAAAAAAATACAGAAAGAAGAGGAGAGGAAAAATTGCATGCATAATGAAGGCCTAAATCTGCACTATTTCTTTATTTGGTACTAGGGATGGAACCCGGCTGACACATGCTAGGCAAGCAACCTGCCTTTGAGCCACATCCCAGTACTATATTTTATGTTCTTTTTGCAATCTTGACTTCTCATGGATGAGCAGCTTTAATAACTTGATAAGCAGCTTGCTATAATTAAGAATAGTTTATGAGCCGAGTATGGTGGCATACGCCTGTGATCCCAGCGACTCAGGAGGCTGAAGCAGGAGGATCGTGAGTTCAAAGCCAGCTTCAACAAATTATCAAGGCCCTGAGCATCTCGGCAATGACCCTGTCTCTGAATAAAATATAAAAAGGGCTGGGCATGTGGCTCAGAGGGGGACTTAACAACAACAGATAGTTTATGATACTGTTATTTTTAAAGCCCTTATCACAGATACACACAGAAATATTGATAGATGAGGTGATAGGATATATGAGGTTTGCATCTCAGTAGTTAAGCATTTGGGGGTGGGGAAGAGTGTGAGGAACAGAATTGACTGAGTTGGTGTTTCAACTTCTGTATAATGAAAAAAGTTCAAAGCAAAACAAAAGACATACTGTTTATTTGGTTATAAAAAGTATGCGGTGGTTAAAATCACAAGTTTTGAGTTTAAATTGAACTAGAATACTGCTTTTGCCACCTAGTAGCCTTGTGATTTTAAGCAGGTTTTACTTCTCTGAGCCTCTGTTTCCTCATCTGTAAAATGAGCATAAGAAGCTGCCCTGCAGAGTTTAGGAGGAGTGTATGTGATGGGCAGGGCTTGTGAGCGCAGTCCCAGGTGCAGCGTGAGGTGCTGGCAGTCCTGATCTTGGGGAAGCACAGACTGCCTGGTGCCTCAGTGCTAATGGAAGTGACAGGTGGATGTTGAGATGTGACTCAGTAGTCCCATGGCACTTTGACAAGTCCTTGTTTGTGCTTTCTCTTGCTTTGGTTCATGCATTCAGGGAACTGATACTGCTGCCACTTGCAGGAGGGTATCTGATGTCTGTGTTTTGCTGTATTTCTGGCTTGACCCAGGACCTGGCACATGCTAGGCAAGTGCTGTGCCACCGAGCTCCACCCCAGCGCTCTAGGAGAGCATTTGGAAGGAGAGGTGGGAGTACGGAGGATCCTGCCTCCCCTGATGCTGCCCGAGTGACCGCACACAGGTTCTAGAGTGCCCAGCTGCTGGCCTCCCTATAGGGAAAGGAAAGATTTCCTTGTTCCTAGTGGCTGTTGGAGATTCCTAGATGAATATTCCTAGGGACCGAGTATTTTTCACCTCTTGGTCCTCTGCCCTTGTGGTATTCTATAAGTCTTTGTTTATTTACATTGAATTGAATCAAATATAGTTGGTTGAAGGGATGTTTTCTGTTATTTCTGTGTTGCTGGGGATGACACCCAGGGCCTTGAGCATGCCAGGCAGGTACCCCACCTTGATCCACACCCTGCCTAAATGAGTGATGGAATGTGTACCCTTCCTGATCACTTCTGTCTCGAGGCTTCTTGGTGTTTGGGTTGTCTGGTAAGGCACAGTTTACAAGGTCCTTTCCATTCCTACTTTATTGGATGTGATGGCATGATGACTTAACATGGAGGTGTTAGATTATACAAAGATCATGCAGATATTATTAGTAATGATAATACTTTCTGTAAAAATAGCATTTGAGGGCTGGGGTTGTGGCTCAGTGGTAGAGCGTGCCCCTAGGTGCTGGGTTCGATCCTCAGCACCACATAAAAATAAATAAATAAAATAAAGGTATTGTGTCCAACTACAACTAAAAAAATTTTAAAAAATAGATAAATAAAAATAGCATTTGATGTTTTTCCAATTATAATTCACATGAACATTGTTAGAGATTTTGAAAATATAGAAAAGTATAAAGAAAAATTATTACCCATGATTCCACTGGCCCCAACCATTTCATAGTTCAGTAGTGAATTTCTTTCACGTTTTTTATAAATAAATAAATGCTTATCTTTTTGTTTATAGTTTAGATTTTTTTTTTTTTGGTAGTGGGGATTAAACCCAGGGTGCTTTATATGGAGCTGTATTTCCACTCCTTTTATTTTATCATTTTGGGATGGAGTTTTACTAAGTTGCCCAGGCTGGCCTTGAATAGCCTCCTGAGTAGCTGTGACTACGTCTGGCTTCTGTTCTTTGCATTTAATGATACTGTCTCAATGTCTTTCCCATGTTGGGAGACAGTAGTTTGAAAATAACTTGCATATCATACCTGTGTTGAAATCTTCGCCTTACCTCTTCCATAATTTGCATTGTCTTGGGTGTCGTTTCTCCTCCAAGTGAGTGTTATCCAGATCACAGGGTACTGTTAGTCCTGTGGGTTGAGTGAGGGCCAGAATATAGGTTGAGCCCTTGGCCGTAATCCAGCTCTTGGAAAGTGCAGAAACTAGGAGTAGTGATGCCATGATGATTGTGTGAAATATGAATCAAAAAATATGTTTTTTAATGGCATTGTGTCCTCAAATGATAAAATAAGAATAAGAAACAAGAAGAAATGAATGTACTATTTATGTGGACAAAAACTTGCTGTAACTGCTGAAATATTTTCTCAAAAACAACTAGAAAGCATGCATTCTGGAGACTCAAATGGGTGTAAAAGTCCTTACCAGGCTTCTGTTCTACTGCAGAGCATCTGTATGCTGGATAAGTTAGAAAGCATGGTTCTAGAATTTAAATTTGAGCATAGTGTACATGCTATAAATTACTCATTTTAAGTGGGCAGCACAGTGCATTTTCATGGTGTAAACACACCCTGCTCAGCCCGCAGGGAACAGTTACCAGGGACCTCCAGAAGCTCCTTAAACCTGCCTCCCCCAGTGGCTAGAAAGTTCTGTTCTCTGGGGAGTGACCCTGTCACACCTCCCAAGCCTGCATTTGCAGTTGTCCTGTGGACGAGGCTTGTCCACCCAGTGTCATGCCTGCAGTCCATCCCTTGCTTCTCCTCGTCTCTGCAGCTCAGCTCCGCTGGGGATTCTGCCACAGAATCAGGCCCTGATGTACTCAGGCGGTCCACATATTAAGTTGAATTAATTTCTTTCCTGTGCTTGTAGGATGGTAGTAGACCTGTACTGTCCTTGGAAAAGTTGAGAAAATAGTCACTCCGATTATTTTTTGTAGGGCTTAATTCTCTCAAAATCCTGAGAAAGGCCATGAGATAGCTTTTCTGGTTTCTTCCATTTAGCAGTTCTGAATTGCTGACTTGTGTCATCTTGCCTGGCTTTTCTCATTCTTGGTGAGAGTACAGGTTTACTTCTAGCTACTCCATCCCACTGGGAAGTCAAAGTCCTGCAAACAGACTTTAAATGCAAAGCTGAGCTCCTAAGAAAATAAGGGGAATTCAGGGGCCTTTGAAACCCAGCAGGTTAAGACAGGGAAGCTGGGGCTGCAGCACACATTGCAGAAACCTGGACCCCAGAGCCTTGAATTCTGAAACTGGCTGAGAGCAAATGGGCCGAAGCCTTAGACCTGAACAGGGAGGGGAACAGGACCTATGTCCCTCTTCTCCTTAACCCAGAAGCCAAGACTCTCAAAAGCAACGACTACTGGGCTCGGGAATTTAGCCTTCTCAGAGCAGTGAAGTGTGGGGGGTACTCTGGGGACGGTGGGGGGTGCAGTTGGTTTCTGCTGAAGAGCTAGCCTACGGCCTTTCTTCACAGGCCTCTGGTGTTTGAGTGGGACTGCCTGTGCCACCTAGGAGATGCCCAGTCTGGAAATGAGTAATGACTACTTATGCAGACAAGCTGAAGACGTACTGAGGGTGTTGCACCCTGGGCAAATGATCCTCAGTGATTTTACAAAACAGAAGGTGTCTTGGTGGAGCCCAGCTGTAGGAGTATTTTTAATACCATTGTCTGCTGTCTTTGGGGTGTACTGGTTTGGTTGAGACTGCAGTCATAACAGTGAGGCAGAGTCAGGCAGGGACAGACACCTACTGTGTGGCGCCATTTCAGCAGAGCTTAGGGTTTTCCCTGAACCCAGAGATTGCTGTGACCACTTGACTTGTACCTGGGATTCCTTTTGCAGAAGGCTTTGTTCCCAAAAAACTCATCAGATTCGGTATCATTTTTTTAGTTACAAATGCACTTTAAAAAAAAAAACTGATTTAGATTTGGTTAGAAAATTAACACGTAGCTGCCACTCTCCATCCTGCAGTGGGAGGAGCGAGGTGGCAGAGCTGTAGGTAAATGAGCATATTCTTGGAGTAGCCTTTGCCACTCCTGTCCTCCCTCTCCCTGGCACATTTTGAGTGCCCGCTGGATGCCAGGCTTTGTACTATTGAGGAACTGGAGCATGCCTAAAATGTGATTCTTCCTGCCTTGGGCTTCCTGTTCCCCCTGACCACAGAATCTGTCCCAGAACCGAAACAAGTGCACTGGGGTGAACTGGAGCCGCTGTGTGCATCCCTCTGCAAAACTCCGCACCTCCTAAAGTTCTCAGGAGTCATCTTCAGCTTTTGAAGACAGATAACTTACCTCAGCATATGTGTGTCAGTGAGCATATGGTGGGAGCATGGCTGCCTAGCAGGAAACTAGGTGCCATAGGTTTTCAAGCAAATGAATAGATTAAATCATCGTTTCCCTGTTAGTAATTCCATCCCCACAAATCTCTTTAGGATGATGTGAGACATAAAGTTCACCTGAACACCTTTGGGTTCTTCAAGGATGGGTACATGGTGGTCAACGTCAGTAGCCTCTCCGTGCATGAGCCTGAAGGAGCCATGGACAAGGATGCAGCTGTGAGTACCCTGTTGGCCTGGGTGAGGGTTCCCCCGCCATCCCATGCTTATACACAGGACACGAGAACAGGGAGAGAATCAAGCTGATGAGTCCAATGTGCATGTTAGGCAACAGTTAGTTTGACTTTTCTGTTTTTGGTACTGAGAGTTGAGCCCAGGAGGGCTCTACCACTGAGTTACAATGCCTTAGCCTTTATTTTGAGAGTCTTGCTAAGTTGCTTAGGGATTTGATAAGTTGCTGAGCCTGGCTTTGAACTGACGATCCTCCTGCCTCAGCCTCTTGAGCTGCGGGATTAGAGGCCTGCACTATTGCATCTGGCAAGTTTACTTTCAATACTTAAGTTGTGGTTCTTGAATAAATGTAGCGATTGGTGATTTGAGTCATGCAGCCATCGCCTTGTTACAAAGTGAATAGTAAGAAAATGCTGAGGAACCCAGGCCTAAAGTGCCTCCCTCTCTGTTCTGTTGAGTAAGAAAGGTGGGGCGTTGTAGATGTTTGCTTCTCTTCTTACCCCCACCCCCATCTCCCCTCAGATCGGATTCAGCTTGGACCGTACAAAGAATGATGGCTTTTCTTCCTACCTGGTGAGTACTAAGTGGCAACCTGATCACTGTCTCCACTGGAGCCCGGGACAGTGAGGGGGAGCAGGCCCCCCAGCCATGTTTCCTACAGGGGTGGCTGGTCTGGCTCTTGGGCATTTCTGAAGTCCCCAGCAGGCTCACTGTTTGAATGCAGGCTGAGCTGCTTGTTGGCCTTATTTTTTAAAATGCTCTGTTCTTCCTCTTGGGAATGAACTGGATATACACAGTTGATTCTTCTTTCTCAGGATGAAGATGTAAACTATTGCATTTTAAGGAAACAGTCTGTCTCTGTCACCCTTCTAATCCTAGACCTCTCCAGAAGTGAGTAAGTAATTCTCATGTTCTTCATTCACCCCTGGATGCAGTCAGGCTGTTTGGGAGCACACTGCCATTTGCTGGGTGTCTGCCATGTGCCAAGTAGTGTACAAGAGGAGGGAGGCGGACACTCCCCCAGCAGTGTGTGGATTAGTGGGGGAGACAGAGGGCAGCAGGCAGAAGAGAGCAAGGTGGGGTGGAAGGGAAGAGAAAGTCAGGAGGGAAGAAGGGGAGGGGAGGCCTTTGGTGAGTAGCCTCCTACCTACCGGTGAGAAAAGGGAGTGCATTCCCGGTAAAAGGAGCCGGCTGTGTAGTGGTGGCGTGGCAGGAGATAGCGGGGTGCGTCTGTTAGCTGAGCTTGGTATTGATGGAGAGTAAGTTGGAGGGGAACCTGGAAAGAAACAGGACTGGGTCCAGGGCCTGGCTCTGCCACTCACTGGCTGTGTGACTCCGGATTCAGTGTCCTGCCGATTTCATAGTAATGGTTTCTGCCCACCAAGATTGTTGGTGAGTGGCAAGATGTGGCAGGGGGGTAGAACACCTGCTCAGCACACGGGAACCCTGGGTTCCCCAGCACTGCAAAAAACCAAAACCAAACAAAGACCAAGAAAGATTGTTGGTGAGGATTTCTGGCCATTTAGTCTTTTTAAAACTTTTGCACTTGGGTGAAGCAGGGAACTTTGTGTTGTCAGGTTCAGCCCGTTTCTACCAGCCACTTCATACGTTTGCTGTGTGTGATTTTGAGGGAGACTTCAGAGGAGTCAGGGTGAGGTAGTGTGTTCAGGATTTCTGTCACAGCAGATCACAGCAGCCCCCAGAGGGTGGACTTGCAGTGGACAGGGCTGCTGTGCCGTGAACCACCATGGACGCTGGGCAGCGAGCACTCCCTGTGGCAAGCTCTGTTTCTTTTTGTTTTCTAAGTATTTTTAGTTGTAGATGGACACAATACCTTTTTTTATTCTTATTTATTTTCATGTGGTTCTGGGAATGGAATCCAGTGCCTCACACATGCCAGATGAGAGCTCTACCACTGAGCCCCAGTCTCGGCCCGGGCTCTGTTTTCATTTAAGAAAATCGAATCTGGCTATCTCTTGTGCTAACTAGGGTGAGTTTGGCAGCCAGCAGCAAGACTTGACTTAGCCTGGCTTAGATAGTGAGGATAGTGATCGTCTTGCCTGCCTGGAAGTCCAGAGGAGCGGCTGGTGGGAGCAGGCCACTGTGGCTTGCTGATGGCAGTGATGCTCCTACTTTCCATCTCTGCTCCGCCCTCCTCAGCATCCGCTTCTTCCTCACCAGATGGCTCTGCTTCCTTATTCCTGTCCAGCCAAGGGGAAAAGAGACAGAATGCTTCTCCCCCAGCCAGCTCTAGGGCGCTTGCATGTGCTAGTTTAGGTCATGTGTTCACTCAGGCATGGAAATTGTCACCAGCCCCTCTGGGGGAGCCTTGGACTAAACAAAATTGGGTCTCTTAAGAAGAGAGAAGGTAAGCCAGGCCTGATGGCACATGTGCTTAATCCCTGTGACTTGGGAGGCTGAGGCAGAAGGATCCCAAGTCCAAGGCCAGCCTGGGCAACTTAGTAAGACCCTGTGTCAAAATTAAATTTAGAAAGGGCTGGGGATGTAGCTCAGTGTAGAGTGCCTGTGGGTTCAATCCCCAGGACAGCAAAAAAAAAAAAAAGGTTCGAAAGGGATATTAGACAGGCAATTAATAGTACACTTAGCCCTCTGAGGCTTCCCTTGGGTATCAATTTGCTGAGCATAGTAATGATACTTAGCGGGAGATAGCTATTGCAGAATCATGTGGCTGCTAAGAATTCTGGCTTTAGAAAGGGACCACTGGGTTCCTCACCTGGCTGCTTCCTGGCTTTGTGCTCTTGGGCAGGTTCTTGAACCTTTCTGAGCCTCGGTTCCAGCCTCTGTAAACTGTGGGTAGTAGGACCTTCATGGTAGGACGTTGCCGGGAGTCTCATGTCTGCGCGGGTGTGTGCTTGTCAGGGGGACTGTTGTGTGGCACTGAATAAATGGCTGGGAATACTTCTTTGAACTTTCCCCCTCTGTCTTGTTTGGATATAGAGTAAAAATCAAGTCTCCACCAGAAGCTGGTACCCAGTTACCAAAGATCATCTTCAGCAAGGATGAGAAAGTCCCTGGCCAGAGTCAGGAGCCTGGTGTCGCTGCCGTCCCAGCTGGCAACCGCACTCAGCAGGCACTAGGTGAGCTGGGCAGAGGGCCCGCTGGGGGAGTGGGGTTTCTGAGTGAAAGCAAGCATGAGGCACAACAGCTAGGACAACAGCCTTTTTTTTTTTTTTAATTTTTTAGTTATAGTTGGACACAATATCTTTATTTAATTAATTAATTTATTTGTAGGTGGTGCTGAGGATTGAACCCAGGGCCTCGCACGCCCTAGGCAGGGGCTCTACCACTGAACCAAAGCCCAGCCCTAGGACAACAGTCTTAGAACGGTTTTATTTTGGAGGTTATACAAAAACATGACCACCAAGAAAAATGTGAAAAATACAGAGAAAATGGGAAAAGCCATTGTCTCTTCTTACTCCCAGGGTTAGAATCTTAGTAACTTCTGTTTCCTTAATAAGCTTGTTTCCTAAGTCTAGAGCCTCTGTCTTAAAGTTCATAGTCATGTTCATAATTTTCCACGCGTGCCTCTTTGCTTAACTTTAATATATTCCATTAGTCAGGTTCTGTTATTTGCCCACCCCTTCCCCAAGAAGAGACACTTCCACTTCATGCACACTGTTGCCAGTATTGCTGCACTGGAGGGCTACTTCTTTTGTTTGTACTGGGAATTGAACCCAGGGCTGCTCTACCATGGAGCTACATCCTCAGCCCTTTTTATTTTTTTATTTTGAGACAGAAGCTCACTAAATACTGAGATGATTAAGGCAGGAGGATTACAAGTTGAAGGCCAGCCTTAGCAACTTAGGGAAATGCTGTCTCAAAATAAAAACAAAAGGGCTGGGGATGTGGCTTAGTGGTAAAGTGCCCCAGAGTTCAATCTTTGATACCAAAAAAGAAAGACACACAAGTATCACATTTGTATCCGTGCACTATCTCCTTCTGATATAGGTTCCTCGTGCTCTCAGAACTGTTCTCTGGGCAGAAAATGCCCTGTTGTTCTTGTTATTCTGAAACTCTCCCTTACCCTGAGCTGTCTTCCCCAGGAAGAGGATCTTAGGTGGAAAAGCGGCACAGACACCACTGTGTTCTGTGAGGAAGCTGCTGGCAACTGTGACACTCCTTGCTATGAGGGGAAAATTAAAATATGTGCAGTACAGGCTGGGGGTGAGGCTCAGCGGCAGAGAGCCCACCCCACAGCACAGGATCCTGGAATTGTGTCCCTAGCACTGCCAAAAAAGCATACATCACACTAATAATTATTTGTGATTAATTTTTCCATGTGTGTAAGTAGATATAATATATGATTTTTGAAAACAATTATTATTTTCAAACATAATTATGTAGAAAATAAGGAAAATTATTCCTGTTTTATTGCTGGGCAATAGCATGCACTAGCTTATTCAGAAAAGAGTTCCCTACAGCTGGGTGTGGTGGCACACGCTTGTAGTCCAAGCTGCTCCGGAGGATGAGGCAGGAGGATTGCAAGTTTGAGGCCAGCCTTGGCAATTTAGCAAGATCCTGTCTCAAAAGAAAATAAAGAGGGCTAGAGTTGTGGCTCAATGGTAGCGCGCCCACCTTGCACGTGTGAGGCCCTGGATTCTATCCTCAGCACCACATATAAATAAATAAATCAAATAAAGGTATGTGTCCATCTACAACTAAAAAATATTAAAAAGAAGGAGGAGGAGGGAGGAGGAGGAAGAAGAAGAAGATTAAGAAGAGAAAGAGGGCGGGGGATATAGTTCAGTGATAAAATGCGCCCCCCCCCAGTGCAGTTCCTAGTACCAAAGACACAACAAAGACGTGAATTCTCCTGTTATCATTTATTTGATAACAATTGTAGCACACCTTAATTTTTTGCTTCTGCTGCTCAAAAAAAAAACTGTCTTTTGTGACTTGAGAAGATGTCAGTCTGCAGGGTTTCTTTGTCTTACCTGTGAGCTTAATTCAGAGGAATGTTGTTTTTGTTGGTTTTTTTTCCCCCCCTGTATCTGGGATTGAACCCAGAGGTACTGAATTCCTGAGCCACTCAACCACTGAGACACATCCCCAGCCCTTTTTTGTTATTTTATTTATTTATTTAATTATTTATTTTGTAGTTGTAGATAGACAGAATGCCTTAATTTGTTTATTTTTACATGGTGCTAAGGATCACACCCAGTGCCTCACACATGCTAGGCCAGCGCTCTGCCACTGAGCCACGGCCTCAGCCCCCACTTTGTTATTTTGAGACTGGGTCTCACTGAGTTGCATAGGGCCTGGCCAGGTTGCTGAAGCTGGCTCTGAACTTGCAATCCTCCTGCCTCAGCTTCCCTAGCCACTGGGATTAGGTGTGTGTCACCACACCCAGCCAGGAATGTTTCTAGTTTTTGATATTAGAGAATCTGGAGTCTCATAAAATTATACTATCTTTTTATATGTATGTATGTATGTGTGTGTGTGTGTTTATATGAGAGCTGGATCATGCAGTAATATTTTTAAAATGTTTGTGTTTCTAGATGGTGGAAAGTCTAAAAGAAGTACAGTGGATTCAAAGGTAAGAACTAATCACCTACTTGTGCTTAGCTTTTTTTTTTTTTAAATTAGTGCCTTATATTTGTACATCATGGTGGAATTTGTTGTTATGTATTCATATCTGCACACGATATAATTTGGCCAATATCACTCCCCAGTATTTTCTCTCTTCTTCCCCACTTCCCCATCGGGTTCCTTTCCTTGTACTCTACTGATTTTTTTTTTTTTTTTTTAAGTTATAGGTGGACACAATATTTTATTTTAATGTGGTGCTGAGGAGTGAACCCAGTGCCTCACGCATGCTAGGAAAGCGCTGTACCTCTGAGACCCAGCCCAGCCCTGATCTTTTGTTTTTAAGTTCCCCCGGCCTACCTTTCTTTAACTTTTCCTTCTGTAGTTTTCACATACAAGAGAAAATATGCTATCCTTGACTTTCTGATTTGGCTTATTTGGCTTAACATAATATTCTCAGGTTCCATTCATTTACATGCACAATTGCCACATTCCTGGTGACAGAAACACTCAGGGTCACTCCAGGGGAACTGGGCTGCGTGAAATAACCCCACACAAGAGACAAGAGATACCTTTTTCTTTGGGGGTCCTGTGACGGCTCCTCTGACCTTAAGGGTCTACAGAAAGAGAGCGAGGAGCACGTGCTGACCCTTTTATTGATTAGAAGCCATTCAAATGAGGCAAGGGGTCAGGTGTCAGGGGGCTGAGTCTTATCTTCATGATGTCTGCTGTTAGCAGGCTGGTTGACAGCTAGGAAGGCCACACCCAAAGGCACATCAAGAGAAGGGGACACGCAAAGGGCGTTTCCATGGAACATTCTATCCCAAACAGGGCAAAGGGGTAATATCACAAAGGAACAGGTGAGCGTAGCTCACCCCTGGGGCTGCAGGAAGGCGCGCCTACGCTTGAAGACACATTCTGCTACTTTGAGGATTAGGGCAGCTGTCTAGGGCCTCTGCGAAAGTGACCAGATCACTACGAAAGTGACCGACAGAGCTCTACCGATCCCAGGAAGGAAAATGCTGGTCACTCAGTGCGACGCCCCCCCCCCCCCCCATCACACTATGTCATTTTTCTTTATGGCTAAATAAATCTCCATTGTGTGTATATACCACATTTTCTTTATCCATTCTTCTGTTGATGGACACCTAAGCTACTTCCATACTTTGGCTGTTGTGAATTGTGCTGCTATAAACATGGTGTGCATGTGTTGCTACAGTGTGATGTGTGCTCAGCTTTCTGAGTGTGTGTGTAATGTGTATGTGTTTATGCATATGAATTTGTGCATACACACAAATGTGTGTGCACGCATCTAAACTATGAGGAGTTGTCTTCTCTTTGGGGATGTGGGGTTGACATACTGCAATAGTTTCAAAGTGAAATTGAGTGCTGGGTTGCACAGCACTTAGTGCTAGAGGGTCTAGGTTGGGGAACAGAGCCAGCTGGAGAGCCCGCTGGGAGGAGGAATCTCCAGGACTGAGCTTGGAGTTTGTTTAGGGAAGAGGGAGAGGGGTGAAGAGAAGGGGCACTGACAAAGACCGGGCAATGGGAATGTGCCTGACAAGAGCTCGGCGCTGGCCTACTTAAAGTAAAGGGCCAGGTAGCATGCGGTCAGACAGCAGCCCAGATAGCAGCCGTATTCACAGACAACAGGAGGTTTTGAGATTTTTATCAGGAAATATTGTGAAGAAAGTATTAAAGATCCTCATTCTGAAGGTAATGTGCAGGGTGTGTTGGAGAGGGAGAGAGTAACATCAGAGGGACCAGCAGGTGGCTGTTGTGATGACACCAGGCCTCCAGGCTTGGGGTGTGAAGCAGGAAGTCTGTCTAGGAGGCCAGTTAGTGGAAGGGGAGGGGAAAGGTTTTTTTGTTTTTGTTTTAGAGGGTTTTTTGAGAGAAATGGATGGTAGAAATGGCAGAAGTGGAAAAATAGAGAAAGTTTTGGTTTAAATATCTTGATATTTCAATGACAGGACATTGAAGTAGCAGTGTTTTGACAGCTTTGTTGAGTTATATTGACCCACAGTAAATTGGACATACTTAAAGAGGCAATTTGATAAGTTTGACTTGACAATCAAAATGGAACGTATCCGTCACCTCAGAAGTTTCTCCTGCCCCTTTGAAATCCTCCTGTCCCTAAGCAACCACTGATCTGTCACATTGTAAATTAGATCTCTAGTACTTTGTATAAGTTATGATGCAGCATGTGCTTGTTTTTCCTCTTTTCCTGGGCATAGCACTTTGAGCTTGTCCATGTCACTGCCTCTGTCTTCAGTTGGGTCCCTGCTTGCTTATACCAGTTTCTTGTGCACATGCAGGGTTGAGGCCTGGATGGAGTCTGCCTGACGGTCAGGCTGTGCCTGGGCCTGCGCCCTTGGTCTTGCTGAAGCTTTCTGATGTGTTGTATTGTGTGGCACTGGGGATGGAACCCGGGGCCTTTGCTTGCTCCTGCTGAGGCTTTGGGAGGAGCACCCCAGCAGGGAGTGCACAGCAGAAGAGAGCTGGGGAAAGGAGGCCCCTGCAAAAGGGGATCACACACAGCTCCAAAGGATAGCCGAGCTTTCTCTGTAGAGAGCTCCTGAGGGTCAACAATTTTAAGGCTTAAGAAGGATTTTTAAAATCAGTTTTAATTTTAATTAGCATACTTATTCTGCCAGTATCATTCTAAACAGATTGTTTTTCTTTCTAGGCAACAGGAGAGAAATCCTTTTCTATTCATAACAATGCTGGGGCAGTTTCATTTCAGGTACGTCTTCCTTTAGGAATGTTTCCCCAAACTTATCTCTACCATGTAAAAGGGTGAATTTTTCAAAGCATTTTGAATTTAGTAATAATAATTTAGGCTGTGTGGTAGTTACTTTACAGTAGCTTTCTGTGTGACGAAGCTGCAAGATGGGAAGCTGGGTGGTACACGTACACCTGTATTCAGGAGGTGGAGTAAGGAAGATTGCAAATTCGAGAACAGCCTCAGCAACTTAGCAAGACCCTGTCTCAAAATTTTAAACAATGGCTGAGGGTGTAGCTCAGTGGTAGAGCACCCCTGGGTCAAATCCCCAGTACTAGAAAGAAAGAAAAAAAAAAAAAACCTGCAAGATGGATAATGTCACCACCTGCTTACCAAATCTTAAGTTTCTGAGAATGAATAACTTTGTAAATGTCCAGTGTTAGCAATAAGGCTTAGATTCCACCCCAATTCTGCCTGGCTATCCTATGACCCCTCTGCCTCTCCAGCCCCAGGTGCCTCCCTCCAGAGCATGTTAGTGCATAGAATTCTGCACCTGAGAGGACCATTGGTGACAATGGAGGGTGGTGATGTTGTTCTAGGAGAGGCCAGAGGCCTTGGGTGGCCCCTTGACTGGCACAGTGTTAAATGCATGTGAATGCTTTCATGGCCGTGGCATGGCATTCATACAAGGATAGGTGACATTGGACAACTCACTTTCTGAACCTCACTACCTCATTGTCTAAAAATGAAAAATGAAACTGGGCACAGAGATGTATGCCTGTAATCCCAGTGACTCGGGAGGCTGAAGCAGGATTGCAAACCAAGACCAGCCTTGGCAACTTAGTGAGGTCCTAAGCAACTGAAGGAGACCCTGTCTCAGAATAAAAAAGACTTGTTAAGTGTCCCTGGATTCAATCCTCAGTACCAAAACAGAAAAATAAAAAATGGGGCTGGTATTGTGGCTCAGTGGTAGGGCGCTGCCTAGCATGCATGAGGCACTGGGTTCATTCCTCAGCACTACATTAAAAAAAACTAAATAAAATAAAGGTGTTGTGTCCATTTACAACAAAAAATATTAAAAAAAAAAAAGATGAGATCTGTCTCATAGGGTTTTTAGGAGTATAATTTTTTTTTAGATTACATGTACAAATAATGGCGAGGTGCAGTGGCACATGCCTATAATCCCAGCAACTAGGGAGGCTGAGGCAGGAGGATTCCAAGTTCAAGGTCAGTCTCAGCAATTTAGCAAATCCCTAAGCAACTTAGTGAGATTTTGTCTCAAAATAAACAAAGAAGGACTGGGGATGTATCTCAGTGGTAGTGCACCCCTGGGTTCAATCCCTGGTAACAGAAAACAAAAACTCAAAGCACAAATAATGTTTTATAATTAACTCATTGGAATCACGGCATCTTTTCTAACCAGTTTTTATTAATTGAGGACCAATTTGCTTATAGTGAACTGCCCAGGTCTTTAGTGTATGGGTCTATTCCTTGTGACGATGGGTGACCATGGAACCCACTTTGTTTTACCATCTCAGAGCGTCCCAACCCCACGCTGCTGTTCTTATTCTTTCACAGTGAAAGAATAAGATCTTACGTTCTTGAAGCTCAGTAGCTGTCCTTTTCATCACCATTGGCGTGAGTAGCTGCGAGTCTCCAGAGGTGCAGACTGTGCCTTTGCTCGGACTCCTCCAGCAGCTTCCCTTCTGACTCAGAGGAAATGCCCGGCCCTTCCACCGGCCTCCAAGGCCCGGGTGACATGGCCCCTGTTGTCTCCCTGACCTCAGCTTCTCTTCGATTCCTTGCTCACTCCACTCCCCTCACGTGGGCCACCTTGCTCCTTCTGCAGGCCTCCGCTGTGCTCTTGCTGTGGCGTGCCTCTCGGAATCCCTCAGGTCTTTGTCAGTTGGCACCTTCCCAGCAAGGCTTTCCCTGAGCATCCTCTTTTTTTTTGGGCGGGGGGGGTGTTGCTTTTTTCCTTTTTTTTTCTTTCTTAAGTGAGTGAGGCCATGGAAAATATAGCGCACCCCTGAACCAAAGTGCACCCCCCGGCCAAAAAGAATACAAGATGGAAAAATGCATGCACAAAGACACCGCGTGTATTACATGCCTTGGTTCAAGAAGAAGGTACTAAAAACCCTGCAAGGGAGAAGCCTATAAAAAGAAAGGGCCATTTTACAGAAGAGGAATCCGAGGCCCAAGGAGGCAGGTGGCTTGCCTAAGGGGGGATTCAGATCCCAGCTTGTTTCACTCCAGGGCTCACCTGTGTGTTTACCCCCTCTGCTTCACTGCGTCCTTGAGAAAATACAAAAGCTGCCCCTTTCTCCCCCAACCTTGCACTTTAAAATGCGCATTAATGAGCGGAGGTCTGGGCTGTGTACAGGGCTGCATGCACTCCTAGGAGGCCCGGGTAGGAAGTGACAAGTCCAGCTGGGCAGCTGAGCAAGAACCACCTCTGAGCCCTCTCCCCACCCCTATTTTATTTATCTTGAGACAGGCTCTCACTAAGCTGAGGCTGGCCTCAAACTTGTGATCCTCCTGCCTTGGCCTTCTGAGTTGCTGGGATTCCAGCAGTGTGCCACTGCACCAGTCCTCTGTTATAAAAAACATTTTTTTTTTTTTTTTTTCCTAAAGAGCAAAACAATATGTTGGCTTGAAAACTAGGTAACTGGCCAGGTGCAGTGGTACATGCCTGTAACCCTAGCTGTTGGGGAGGCCAGCACAGGAGGACTGCAAGTTCAAGGCCAGCCTCATTAATTTAGTGAGTCTGTCTCAAAAACAAAAAGGGCTGGTGATGTAGCTCAGTAATTCAGTGCTCCTGGGTTCCATCCTCAGTAGCAGGAGAAAAGAAAACTAGGTAAGTGCATAAGTGCATGTTAGATTGCCTTTGCAGACTTCTGCACAAATCCAACACTGATGGTCAGATGTGTGACGAGGCAGGTGTGGAAGTGTGGTGTGCAGTTAGGTGGTGGGGGCGAGGTGTCTACTACTTAGGCCCACCTGTCATTCTGTGCTTGGACATTGCTGTAAGTACTGGGAGGAGACTATAGAGTAAGAAAACATCAGTTTACACTCTGCTGTGGGAGAGTTTAAGTGGTCTCTTTTCTTCTGTCTGTAATATTCATAAGTAATGTCTAAGACTTAAAAAGCTAAAGATTTGAGTTCTCTTAATTTTTTTCTTCTTTATTTTCAGTTTTTTTTTAACATCAGCACTGATGACCAGGAAGGCCTTTATAGTCTTTATTTTCACAAGTGCCCTGGCAAAGAACATCGGCCTAATGACAAGTTTTCATTCAGCCTTGATGTGAGTACCCTGTGGAGACTGTTCCTCAGGGATTTTGATTGTGTAAAATTAAAGACATATATTTCTGTATTTTTTTGTTTGTTTGTTTTTCTATGTGTGGTGTTGGGCGTTGAACCCAGGATCTATGTATACCTAAGCATGTGCTCTGCCACTGAACTACATACATCTCCAGCCCCTAAGAGTAGATTTTGAAATCACTTCATTAAGAAAAAAAAATGTGGCCAGATTAGCATCCCTGGCAGTGTGCAGGATACTTCAGCAGAGAATTCCTAAGTAAGAAAAGAAAAAGCCTGTGCATTACGACTGTGGGCATTGCCAGGCGTGGTGGCGGAGACTCCAGGGGTAGAGGCAGGAGGATTGCACACTCAAGGCCAGCCTCAGCAACTTAGTGAGACACTGTCTTGACATAAGAACAGGCTGCTGTGTAGCTCTCTGTTAAAGCACCCTGAGTTCAATCCCTAGTGCCAGAGTGAAAAAAGAAAAAGAACGTGGTTGATGTTCTGCTGTTCTTCACTCTCCTGAGCTTCAGTGAAGCAGCTGAGGTTCCAAATTGCTGAGTAAGAGGTGATCTGTTGCTGAAAAGTAACTTAATTTTATGTCGGTTTCAGATTGAGATCACAGAGAAGAATCCTGACAGCTATCTTTCAGCAGGAGAAATCCCTCTCCCCAAATTGTACATTTCTATGGCCTTTTTCTTCTTCCTTTCTGGGACCATCTGGATTCACATCCTTCGAAAACGACGGTAAACTATTACTTCCTTGAGCCCTTCACCTTAGAGTATGTTGAGATTTGTGTGATTTACCGTAAGCAGGATCCTGCACCTGGGGGGATCCAGCGCTCGCAGCCTTGTTCTCTGAAGGGCGTCTTACCTGAAGCACTCGGGGGCAGCAGAAGCCCTCCAGTGTGGGAGACCTTGTGTGCCTCAGTGTTTACAATAATCATTTTTGGTTTAAAAAGTGAATCCAAAAGTTTCAATAATATCCAAGTACAGTAAAATGCATAATCAGAGTGATTCCGTAGCAGAGACCCTGTTGCTCAGGCCTCAAGAATGAGCGCCTTGGTCCCTTGCAGGGTGGTTCATCCTCGAGGAGGCTGGTGATGAGGCTCATTTGCCCAGGTGAGAGCACAGAGGTCCTGTCCAGCACTGCAGTCAGCGGCTCAGCACCTGGCTGATCCTTGTGTGTTGATCCCCAGATGCTTGTCACTGGAGAAAGCCTCTTCAAGCCCATTTGTCCAGCTCTGGGTCTTTGTTCAAAATCCCAAAGCTTCGGCTTCCTGCCTTGGCTCTTGCATGAATTCTCTGTCTCCCATGAAAGCTGAGAATAAAATACTATGTTTAGAATAAACTATTATATTAAAAGGACCACTCACTCACTGATGCATGTGAGTATGGTATTACAACATAGATCAGTTGAAATTAAAAACAAATTATCTCCAAATACCTCTTTTTCTGGAGCCCTGAGGCAGAAATTGAGACCTCTCTCCCCTGGTGGCTTGACTGTCTTCTAATAGACATGCTGGGAGTCTGGGATACTGGTTCTGGGGAGGCAGTTGCTGGTCCTATGTGTTGTAATATCCTGTACATCCTCTGGATGGAAAGAGTTTGCTCACTTGTGAAGGTCCTGCAGATCATGTCTTGACTAGATTAAGCACAGCCATTACAAAGAAAGAATCCTACAGATGCAGGCCATAAAGGCTTTTTTTTTTTTTAAGGAAAGTTTTTCTTTTGCCTTTGTTAGACAAGTAGGAACTGCAGTCAGAAGTGTGCACTTAAGGCTGGGGTTGTAGCTCAGTGGTAGAGCGCTTGCCTCTCATGCGTGAGGCCCTGGGTTCAATATTCAGCACCACATAAAAATAAATAAATAAAAATAAAAATTTTGTGTCCATCTACAACTTAAAAAAAAAAAAAGTGTGGCCTTAACTGCTTGCTTTTTTGCTTTCAGCCCCTTTTCAGCCACAGAACTGGGACAGTGATAAGTGCTCTGACTTCTTCTAAGTGTCCCAGCTCTTGGGCTTGTTGTGTGATTCCCTTCAAACTGAGGGGGCTTTGCACATCAGAATGCTATACAGGTGTGAGGTGTTACAGAATGGCGTTCTAGCCAGGTATTTTGATGGCATTTTAGTTTCCCCATACTTAGCAAGGACAATAATCATTGTCACTGGTTCACGATAGGAAATGGTGGTAGCAGTTCTAAGCCTGTGGCCAAATGGGGCTGACCTATTTTGTTGGAGTATTGTAGGCACATAGAAAGGCACATGTCTCCAGGAGTTGAATGCCAGCCCTGTTGGGTGGAGTTTGAGTGGTGTGAAGGCCTGTGACTCGAGGCTGCCGGGTGCCTTGGAGAGGCTCGAAGCCCTCAGAGCCCACCTGAAAGAACAAGAGATCTTTGCCACATGAATGCATTGAGGTCCAAAGAGGGGACATGAGTGGCCTGGCCAGCATCACCTGACGGAGCTGGGCATGGCCTAGGTCTGCCTGCTGCTGCCCGTCAGGCTACTTTCCAATCTGAGCTGTGGAGCAGGGAATGCACAGGTGTAGCCACCAGGTGCCTGCTGTATGCACGTGGCTAGGCACTCGATGTTTAGTTCAGCTCCTCCTCCAACAGCTTGTTTAGCTGGGTGTCCCCCCATTTTCAGAGGAGGTTACTGAGGCACAGAGAGATTAAGATCAAACCAAGGAAGAACCAGTATTTGAGTCCAGGTCGCTGTGGCCTAGGAACCTATGCTCTTTCTGTCACACTGTCACCGCAGCAACTGTGGCCTACAAGTCAGGCTTGCCAGGAGGGCTGGTTTGCACTCGGGGTGGATCCCATTGCTGTTCCAACTGTGGCAGACAGCTCTGACCGGGACTTCCCTTTTTGGCCTTTGGGTAGGTGGGCACGGGACAGGAAGTGCTGTGAGTTAGCCCGGAGCCAGGTGTGCACCAGGTCAGCACATTCCCACTCCCACTTTGCACAAGCCGCTCTCCTGCCGGATCACTCCCTTTACTTCCTGTCTCTCCCACTCCTTCCCAACCAGGAATAGCCACCCAAATGTGTGAAGGCAGTTTGGATACTTATATATTTTTGCAAGTAAGTAATATTGTTGGTACTGCATATATTTTAAATTTATAGAACCTAGCCTGGTGTGGTGGCCACGCCTATAATCCCAGCAACTCAGAGGCCCATGCAGAAGGATCACAAGTTCAAGGCCAGTTTCAGCAACTTGGCGAGGTCCTCTCTAAAAATAAAAAGTCCTGGGGGTTTGCCAATTCCGTGGAACTACATGAGTAGAGCACCCCCAGGATTCAACCCCCAGTAACACAAAACAGTAAAAATAAACTGTGTGCAGTGGTGCACGCCTGTAATCCCAGCGACTTGGGAGGCTGAGGCAGGAGGATCACAAGTTCAAGGCCAGCCCCAGCAACATGAGACCCTGTCTTAAAATAAAATGTGCTCGGGATATGACTCAGTGGTTAAGCGCCCCAGGTTTAATCCCTGGTACCAGAAAATAAATAAATATGAATTTGTGGAAACCGTCCTCTCTGCATACAGTCTGGGTGTCGCTCTTTCACACTCTCCCTTAGTTCTGCGCAGCCACCTCACTGCGTGTGCCTGACGGGTTGATTTCTAGCCCTCCACAGCACTCCATGGTCTCCGTCCCCACATGTGACTGTGCCATTCCTTGGCAGTGCATGTACGACCAGGTTGCCCTGTCCCTCCTACCCCAGATGGTGCTGTCATGCGCCTCCCTCCAGCCTCCTCAGATCCCCTAAGGGGCTGGTGCTCTGAGAAACAGTCCCAGGGGGAGGGTGGGAGGTCTGTGCTCCTACAGGTCCATAAAGTGCTTCCAGCTGCCTGCTTGTGGCCCCCGTGTGTGCTTTCACCGATGGTGCCAGGGCTTCCTGTTGGCCCACACACTCACCAACACACACATCTTAATTTTTGCCAATTTCATGGGTGTAAACTGGAACCTCGTTTTGTTTTGCGTTCCTTTGAATATTGATGATGTGGATTTTCATTTCAGGGATATCTTCACCTCTGGTGCCTGCCTATGGGTTTTTTTTTTTTTTTTTTCCTGTCTTTTTCTGGTTGCTTTGCACGAGTCTCTTGCATGTTCTGGACATTAATCCCTTGTCTGTCTTATACATTATAATTTTTTTCTCCCAATAGTTCAATTTGTCTATGGTATTTGTTGTTGAATGAAAGTCTTTTGGGTTTTTGTTTGTTTTTTATATACTAGGGATTTGATACTGGGGCACTTTTACCACTAAGCTACATCCCCAGCCCTTCTTAAATTTTGAGACAGGGTCTCACCAAGTTGTTGAGGGGCTCACTAAATTGGTAAGGCTGGTCTTAACTTGTGATCTTCTTGTCTCAGCCTCCCAAGTGGCAGAATCGTAGGAGTGCGCTCCTGCGCCTGGGAAATCTTTGGTTTTAATGGAGTCAAAGCTACTGCCATTAGTCTTTTGGGCAGTGCCTGTTGGATCTTAAGAAGTTCCTTTCTACTTCAAGATCCTGAAATTTTAGGTTTAGAATTGAAATGCGTCAGGAATCCTTTGGTGTAAATGTGGAGTGGAGACCAGGTTTATTTTTTCCCACCTGTAGGTTCGAGCTCATGTTTCCCATGGTTCCCCTGCAATAGTCTGTCTTTTTTCACCAATGCAGTGTCATTTACCCTGTGGCAAGCTTCCACACACACACGTGTCTTCACGTGGGCTCTCTGGTCTGTCCCATCGGTCCATTTGTCTGAATAACAGGTAAACTGTGCCTATTCCACACTTTCTAATGCTGTTCCTTTGCAGAATGTCTCAGTCTCTGAGTGTGCATTTCTCCTGTGGCTCTTCCTTAAGTTTTTCTTATTTTTTCATTTTTAGTTTTTTGGTTCTGGGGATTGAACCCAGGGACATTTTAACACCAAGCTGCATCCCTAGCCCTTTTTATTATTATTTATTTTGAGACAGTATCTTATTGAGTTGCTGAGGGTCTCCCTAAGTTGCCCAGGCTGGCCTGGAACATGCTATCCTCCTGCCTCCGCATCCTCAGTTGCTTTGATTATAGGCATGGCCACCATGCCTGGCCCAAGTCACTCTTTCTATTAACAGAGTTTTCGGTCTTTCTCCATTATGGTCTTGTGTGTCCTATTAGGTTAACTCCTGGAGGGAGGTGGGAATGGGAGGAGGAATTTAATATCTGGTCATTTACCCACAGGCCTGAGGGTAGAGACAGGGGTGTGGGCCTGTCCTGTCCCCCCCTCCCCTGTCCCCTCCCCTGTCCCAGCCTTCTTGTGTGCTGGGCCGCAGCCTTCACCTACAGCTGCACCTGATCTTTCTGATTCCCCAGGGTTTCATGCTGTTTTTGAAGATCCGTCCACCTCATTCTCACTTGTGTGGCCTTCCCAGGGTGGTTTCCAGGGAACACTGGCAGGCTGGGCTAGATTTCCATCTTGGCAGGTCTGGGAACCCACCAATCTGACTTTGCTGCTTACCTCCCAGTTCTACTCACTGCGTTAATGTATGTTAGAGGTGACTGTAGGACTCTATCTGAGACTTTTTCTCTGGCAGAAACTTCTTGTTTTTGAACCAACTGGTGATTGAAACCAGGAGCACTCTTCCATTGAGCTCCCTCGTCTTTTTTTTTTTTTTTTTTCCCATTTTGAGACAGGGTCTCATTGGGTTGCCTAGGCTGACCTTGGACTTGCAAACCTCCTGCCTTAGCCTCCCAGGTAGTTGGTACGTGTGCCATCATGTCTAGCTCAAAAACGGGTGTATGCCCGCCACCCAGATTATTTGCTTATAAATGTCTCTGATGCTTCGGCTGTCCTTGGGGAGAATGGGATCTTCTTTTAATTCTTTTCTTTTATTTTTACAGGAATGATGTATTTAAAATTCACTGGTTGATGGCGGCCCTTCCTTTCACCAAGTCGCTTTCCTTGGTGTTCCACGCAGTATGTACAAGCAGCTGGGATCATTTAGGAAACGGTGTACATGCCTGTGTGAGCAGGAAGGATGAGTCAGAGGAAAGGGATAGCTAGATGGCGGGAAAGAAGAGGAAAGAATATGTTTTCCCTCAAGCTGCCTTTTGCTCGGGGAACTGGCTGGGGAGATGATTCCAGCCTCCACGGCTAGGCCAGGTCGGGTCAGCTCCTGATACTGCCACCACCAGCGGTCTCCTAGATGTCCTGCTTTAGTACCTCTTTGGGCGTTTCTTGAGGTGCGGGTGCCTCCACTTCCTCTGTTTTTCCCAGTCTCCCTCGTGGGCTTTCTGCATTTGAAGTTCACTGTTAGCAGACTTGCTGGCGGGACCCTTGATGCTTTTAAGATTGAGGAATAAGAACCAGGCCTCAGCTGTGAGTATGGAGAACAGGTGCAGATTGAAATGACTTTGCCTGTGAGGGGAGATCTCGGTCCCTGTAGTGTGTGGCCTGTGTGCTCAGACCCCACCTGGCCCATTCGCCTGTTTGAGAGTATCCTCACGGGGAAGAGCAGACATGTCCAGTGACATTGTCAAGAAATAATAGTTATTTAGGTAATTTCTCATTTGGATCTAAATTTTAAAATTCTCTCTGGAGCCACAGAGATAATGAATGACATTGTCCATGTTGGACAAAGCTGCTCTCGACTTTGTGACTTGTATACGAGGCACTTTGGGCACGCTGTCATTTTAGTTAAGATGTGTTTGGGGCCTCAGCTCTCTCTAAATTTGGGATTTTTTTTTAAAAGGATAGTTGAAGCCAGTTGATTGAATGACATTAATTTTTTAAAATAATTTTATTAGTTGTTGATAGACCTTTATTTCATTTTTATTTATTTTTGTGTGGTGCTGAGGATCCAACCCAGTGCCTCCCACGTTAGGCAAGAGCTCTACCACTGAGCCACAACCCTAGCCCTACATTAATTTTTTTACTCATTGGCTGACCTATTTCCTTATGTAAGCAGCAGGGCGTGAAAGAGAAAGTTCTCAGCTGGCATTGGGACCTTGGAGGCTGTTAAGAAGGGAATAGGCAGCCATTTGCTAGTGTGAATTTTTTGCCTCCCAAGGGTCCTGGGCAGGATGTTAGTGTCATTGAAGCCTAGTGTCACATTTCTAAAGCTCCCTGGTGTTTGTTAACATGTACGTGCTTGTGGTGAGTGGACAGGGAGGGCTTGGTCAGTGGGCTGTGGTTATTGTTCGCCGTGCACTCAGGCCCGAGGCGGCTCAGCCTTTCTAAGATGTGCTTGTTGGTTTCAGATCGACTACCACTACATCTCCTCCCAGGGATTCCCGATTGAGGGCTGGGCTGTTGTATACTACATAACTCATCTGTAAGTATGCGACCCACGGAAAAGTGGTGTGCGGGAAGTTGTGGGGCTGATGTGGCTCAGTGGTAGAGCACTTGCCTAGTGGTGTGAAGCCCTGGATAGTCCTCAGACCACAAAATAAAAACAGAAGGAGGAGAAATTGGGAGAGCCGTGATAGGTGGCGGCTGTCCAAACTGACCAGCCGTGCCCCGTGGCAGCCTGCCTGGCCCCCTCTGCAGCTGGTGCCTCGGAGGTCACCGTGCAGACCAGGGACTGGGCTTGCTCTATTCCCTTCTCCTGCAGCCTCAGCTCTCTCCACCTGAGAGGAGCGCTGCTCACACACAGAGCTCTTCACAATTGGGCTCTTGGTCTTACAAGAAGCATGTGCAGCTGTGGAATGAGCTGCCAGTCTCACTGCTGGGTTAGAATCTGAAGAGACCTTCTGCGTCCTCCACCTGCTTTCTCTTCCAGGTTGAAGGGCGCGCTCCTGTTCATCACCATTGCGCTCATCGGCACCGGCTGGGCTTTCATTAAGCACATCCTCTCCGATAAAGACAAGAAGATTTTCATGATTGTCATCCCACTCCAGGTAGAGGAACCCCAGGCCTGCTCGTCATTTCTTCTCTTGGCCCTTGGCAGGATTCAGCTACAGACCCTGCTCACCCAGAGACCCCAGGTTGGGCCTTTGGGGATTGAAGATGGGCATCCCATCCTGACCCTGAACCATCTGGACTTCTCATCCTCGCACTGGGAGAAGCCAGACACTCTGTAGACCAGCAGGGATGCCTAGCCTTTGGTAGAGAGCTGCAGAAAAGTGCAGGGGGGACACTGCCTTCCCTTCTGCCCCTGATTGCCACTAATAAAATTGTCTTCTTAGTGAGGAAGCCCAGATACACAGTGATTTTTACCAACCAGGTATTTCAGAATGTGAATGATACCCATTGAGTTACATGGACACCAGGGACAGACTTTATTAAACCTTTTCTATATTTGGAGACGGGGCTGGGGAACGGGCTGCTTCCAGGGTGAGGGACCTTGTCTTGTCTGCACTTAGCGGTCATATTGGAGGTAGGTAACGGACAGGAGCAGTCGTGGGTGCTGTAACAGAGAGTTTGATGATGGTGCTCTCTGCCTGGGTTCGTGATTTGGAGCACCAGTGCAAATGTGGCAGGTGGAGAAGGCGGGCGGCTCCCTGGGCACCAGCCCATCCACTCTGGTAACTGGCTGCTTGGCGGAATTTGCTGTGCCGCTACCCTCATTCAGCCATGAACATAGATCAGCGCCCAGGGAACAGTACAGATCAGTCACTGGTGTCCAGGAGCAGTCACTCACAGTGGTGTGCCCTAGAAGGGCTTTCTATCAGGGAGGACTTGCCTAGCCGTTGCAGGAAAGCAGTGTGCCGAGGCAAGGTAGTGGCCACAGACACGTGATGCCGCTGTGTGGTGAACCTAGGGTACCAGCGAACATGCAGGTCTCTTGGTGGTCAAGTTACATGGCCATTCTGTGGCCAGATCAAGTTCTACAGCTTACTACTCTCAGAGCTTATAGATGACAGGCCTAGGCCCTCCTCCCACTTTGCTAGATGGCTGCCTGGATCCCTTGCCCTCAGACAGACTCAAACCGCCCCCAAGGTTGACCCCCCCACTCCCGCCTGAACTGGGGTGTGACAGGGCATGGACTTTCCTGCTTCCCCTGTTCCCTTGGAAGAGAACCACACAAGGTTACATGGAACATCTCTTTGAGGAAATGTAGGCATTGAAAAATTAAATATGAGGAAGTTTGGAGTGCTTAGACATGGGATTGGTCGGAGAGGACCTTGAACATAAGCCTAAAAAGTTAAAACTGCTTCCTTTCAGCCACAGCTACTGGTGGACAGCTTGATTGCTTTTCTTTTCCTTCTGCTGGGGCTGAATCCAGGGCCTTGCACTTGCTTGGCAAGTGCTTCCCCACTGAGCCACACCCCAGCCCCAGCTGAAAGTTTCTGAGTAAGGATTAAGTGGTGCATAGCACAAAATTGTGTTTTGAGAACATTGTTGACACATTGTTCAGCACAGACACCTCTCAGGAGCATCCTGTCTCCTGTAAACCCTGGGAGTTAAGGACAGTGGAGTCACCATCAGAAGAGAAGCTCTTGTGTTCCCATTGTCATTGTACGGTCACTGTAAAAGACTTCAGGAGAAACAAGTAGGTAAGAACGCAGGAGCCAGGGCCAGTGGGGAAACTGAGGTTTCAAATTCAGCTTTGCGTTTGTACTAAATGAAGTTTGGCTTCTGTGCCAGCTTCATTCATAAGTCCTATACCTAGAAAGGAGCCACACTTCGAGGCCTCCCAGATCACAGCACCGCAGCTTCTGTGTTCCTTATGATCCTCTGGAGAACTAGCCATCTTCACAGCAAGCCAGGCAGGTGTTTGGACTTCTCATGGGACGTGTAGTTGTAATGTCATCTCTGCATCTGTACCTACTGGTGTCTGTGAAAGAACGTGTCCTGAGATGTCAGTTTCCTTAATGGTCAGTCGTATTGGAGCTGGAAGACTGAAAAGCTGAAAGACTCGTAGCACACCAAGAGCCTAGTTATAGACCAGACCCACGGCAAAGGCGTGACTTTGCAAATAGAGGCCAGACATGCATGTGGGCGAAGGCCTGAACTTGAGTCGTTCAGGACCAGTGTGGCTACTCGGTTGCTGGGCTGAAATCTGCTATTCTTACCTCTGTGGTCTCTGATCAAACAAACCTATTATCAGGTACTTAGAAGAGTTATTGTCACTGGGGAGTGTAGGTTTTCTGATTAAATGGGGCATTAAGTGCCATCCATTCAGCACCTGAGTGACCGATGAGGCCTGGGTACCCAAAAAGCAAAGTAAAGTGTCCTAATTATACATTGCTACATAACAAGTCATCCCAAAATAAAGTGCCTTTAAGCCACAGTAACAGTCATTCTGTCTCAATTTCTGTGGGTCAGGAATTTAGGAGAGGCTTAACTGGTAGGTCTGCCTCAGAGTCTCGTGGTTGTGGTCAGTGACTGGGACTGGGGGTGTCTAGAAGTCTTTCCATCTTCTTCCTGAGCTGGGAAGACTTGAGGGGGTAGAAACAGCAGGGCCCCTCGGGGTCTCCTGTCTGCATGGTCTAGCATGGCCGTTTCCGCAGACTTCTTCCCAGCAGGCTCGGGCTGTAAAGGTCTGGAGGGAGAGCCAGTGGGAGCTGTGTCTGCCCTGGCAGTCACATGAGTCCCATCCGCTTCACTCCATTGGTCAGAACCATCACCAGCCTGACCTGGTCCAAGGGAGGGCATAGGACCTGCGCTTCTTACCTGCAGAGTGGCAGAGTTCTGGAAGAGCTTAGGAAGTAGTGCAGCAGCCGCAGGTGGAGGCTCTGCGTTCCCCACCAGCCCTGCTCTGGGGCCTCAGTGGCTTCTTGTGTCCCGTAGGTCCTGGCAAACGTGGCCTACATCATCATAGAGTCCACAGAGGAGGGCACGACCGAGTATGGCTTGTGGAAGGACTCTCTGTTCCTGGTGGACCTGCTATGCTGTGGCGCCATCCTCTTCCCAGTGGTGTGGTGAGTGACCCCAGGAGGAGCTACCCGCACCCGGGGCCGGTTGTCAACCCAGTAGCTGAACTGGCTGATCTTAAATTGGTCGGAACCACCCAGGGCCTCTGGGCTTTTTAGTACAGCTTTGTGGGCTAGACTGCCCACAGAGTGTCCAGGCAGGACCTGTGTCTTTTTCTTTTCTTTTTAGTTGTAGATGGGTATGATACTTTTTACTTATGTATTGTTTTACGTGGTGCTGAGGATTGAACCCAGCACGACACATTTGCTAGTCAAGAGCTCTACCACCGAGCCCAGCCCCAGCCCCAGCCCCGAGTCTTTATCAAGTAGCCCAGGTACTTCTGATGGAGCTGGCCTGGCAGCGTGGGCTGGGGCAGAGCACAGTTCTAGACTGGAGTCTGGGAAGGAGAACTTGGTGGCAACGGGAAACAGCAGGCTGACTTCAGCGGACAGGGAGTTGAATTCCCATAAATAACCCTTTCCTGCCAGGTCGGTGGAGAATGAGGAAGTTCATGAACGCTAGTTAGTGGGCTGTCAGCACATGCACAGTTCTGACAACTTGAGAACCGTGTGCTGCACTCCTGCAGGTGACAGGCTGCAGGTGCATGTATTGCATTTTGAGTACGCATAAAGAAGTGCGTGAAGGGAAAGACTATCCGTGTTAAATCACATTCAAAGTGATGGAGATTCTTGGTCTAGTAAGGGTCCAGTGGAGGAGGGAAGAGGGCGGAACAAAACACCTCGCCCCGCCCCTCGTGATCTAGCTCCGTGGTTATTTGAGTGCAGTAAATTCTTCTGAAATCCAGGTTAAGGAAAGCAAAATGCTTCTTACTGAAGTGTCCTCTGCAGAACACTAGTTATTTTCTGGGATCTTGGGGTTTGTAGATTGCTTGGAGCACAGTGAAGCTGGTCCTCATTCCAGCTGGGATAGCCACACAGCCTGTGTGCACATCCAAGCTCAGCAGACAGCTGCCAGCAGAGCAGGGGACCAGAGCTCCTGCATCCCCCTCCTCCGCATGCTGCCCAGGGGAGGAGGCGGGCCGTAACTGCACTCAGGCAAGATCCTGCTCTGTACATGCCATTGCCAGGCAGTAATGCCAGGGACCCAGACCAGCAGAGATCTACCTGCCACTGGTCAATTACAGTACTAATGAACAGATCCAAATGGCAACACCACTTCAGCTAAATATCCCTAAAAATACTGTGAATGAAAAAAATAAGGTCTAGAAAAGTAATTTAAGAAATAACATGAATAATTCTTTAGAGTACTCAATTCAGCCGGCACTGGGCCGGTTCCAGCCTTACGCTGGTTAGTCTCCGCGGCAGCCCGCTCAGACCTCACAGAGGCAAGCTCTTGAGGCTTTAGGAAAAGTGGCTTACTCACCACAAGAGGAAGTGGCAGTGCCCGAGGGAGCCTGGGTCTGCCAGACCCTGCCCTCTTCCCTTACCCACCCCACCGCCTGCTGCGCGCAGCCGTGCTCTAGTGGCAGCGCTGTGCGTGGGACTCCGATTGCAGCTTCTTTAGTGACATGTCCCCTGCCTGAGTGGCGGTGGCAGTCATTAGTTACTGGCATAGCACAGCAAAAAAAGACTCCCTGGGGCAGCAGTTTTCCACAGATTAATAAATCTCCACTTAATGAGTTTGCATAAACCATATGTTCACAGCCCCTGGACCCAGACGTAGATGGTGGCCAGCAGCTTTCTAGGGTCAGTTCTCTCACGGTGGCAGGAGACCTTAGCGAGGCTCTGTTGTTATCATAGTCAGGTTGGGGTGACTGTGGGACTGAGGTAGGTAGAGACCAGGAGAGTTCTCTTCACTGAGGCCCTGCCAGACTCACTGCCCCTGTCTCCACCAGCAGAGGGCATCCTGCCTCGCAGGCCTGAGCGCCATAACTGGGGAGGTGCGGGTTAGCATAGGAAGAGTGCTCTGAAGTCACTAGTCCACACTTTCAGTCTGTAATAGGGAAATTCAAGGCCCCAAGCAGCTTGAGCAGGAAATAAAGAAGAATGCAAATTTGCCAGCTAACCTTTTTTCTCCAAATGTTTATTTTTAGGTCAATCAGACATTTACAAGAAGCCTCAGCCACAGATGGAAAAGGCAAGTCCCCTCGTGCTCCTGCACATTGCCCACTTCCCTCTGAACCCCACACCGGGCACTCTTTGGGGTGGGTAGGGGACCTGGGGACCAGGTTTGCAGGAGCATTCAGTGGATGCATGGTGGAGAAGCATGTGTTGAGTGTCACAGAGACCAGTTGTATACAGAGGCTTGGGGGAGGTTGCTGCATATTGGGATTTCGTTTCTACTTGTGACTGTGATTTTTACCCTCTCAAACTGAATCAGTGCTAGGCATGGTGGTGCAAGCCTGTAATCCCAGTGGCTCGGGAGGCTAAGGCAGGAGGATTGTGAGTTCAAAGCCAGCTTCAGCAACGGGGGAAGTGGGAGTTAAGCAACTCAGTGGGACCCTGAGTTCAATCCCTGGTACCACCCCCCCAAAACAAAAAAAATCAGTGGTCTCAAACACCTGAAATCCTGGTGACTCGGGAGGCTGAGGCAAGAGGATCACAAATTGGAGGCAACTTAGTGAGACCCTGTCTTAAAAAAATAGAAAGGTCTAGGGATGTAGCTCAGTAATAGAGCACCTATGGACTAAGTATTCAGTACCAAGAATCTCTCTCTCTCTCTCTCTCTCTCTCTCTCTCTCTCTCTCTGACTTAGAACCATTTGTGTCCTGGAAGGGCCAGCTAATGTTGCCTGTGAGAATAGGAGTGCTGTGGAGTGGAATTGGCTGTGTTTAGAGTGGTCTTTTCTGCTGACCTAACATATTTTCAAAATGGTTGTGTTGGTATTAATTTTAAATAAAACTCTGAGTCCAAAAAGAACCTTTAAAACTAGTTGATATTTTAAATGGTTATCCCATTATAACCCATCTGCATCTCTTTGATTTTCCAATCATGCCTCTTGTATCAGAAAAGGAGCCATAAAGAAAATATGTGTTTCAGTGTTTCTGGGCTGGCTTAACTAGTGCCCAGGACCAGGATCCAGTGGCACAGTAGGCCCTCGGATCTCAAAGGTTGCAGTAGCCCTCAGGGGATGTGCAAAGTCTTACCAGTGCCGGTAGTAGTGTGCTTCAAGGCAGAATATTCATTATCAGTAGTAAAAAGAAACAAGTTTTTGTTTAAAAATAAAATATTGTTGCCAACCTTTTATTCTGATTACAAAAGTAATGTGGGGACTGCGGCTGTGGCTCAGTGGTAGAGTACCTACCTTGCATGAGTGAAGCACTGAGTTCGAACCTCAGCACCACATAAAAATAAATAAAAAAATAACACTAGAGATAAACAAAAAAAAGTAATGTGGATTCATTTGAGAAAACATAATGGCCACGAGTCTCATTTCACAGGCTTTAGAGTACAATTATTATCACATTCTTTCTTTTAAATGGAGTTAAACCTGAACTAGTATGGTGGCCACGCCTGTAATCCCAGTAACTCAGGAGGCTGAGGCAGGAGGATTGCAAGTTCCAGGCCAGCCTCAGCAATGTAGTGAGACCTTGTCTCACAATAAAAAATAAAAAGGCTGAGGATCTGATTCAGTGGTAAGGCACCCCTGGCTTCAACCCCAGTACGAAAAAAAACAAATTGCACGAAAGCTGATTTAGTGATTTCCCACCACTCTGGGTTCTCTGGGTTCTTATTTAGGGCATGGTATTAAGGAGGCTCTCCCGGTTTGTGACCAGAAGAGTGACTGTAGAGATTCCCTCTGCTCGGGCCTTGGTGCTTTTGTTTCTGGGCAGCCTCATACCCAGGATCATGCCAGGCTCGGACCCATGGTTGCTCCGAGGCCTGCTCCCGACTCCCCCAACCTCAGCCAGCGTTTGTCTTCTTTCTAGTCCTCTCTTCTTCCAAAGCACTGGGTTCCCTTTTCCTGCACTGGAATGCTCTCTGTGACAGATACTTTTTTTATAAGGTACTGGGGAAGCTGAGGCAATCCTCCTACCTTAGCCGCCCGATTGAACTCAGGGTTACTCAGCCTCTGAGCCACATCCCCAGTCCCATTTTGTATTTTATTTAGAGACAGGGTCTCACTGAGTTGCTTAGCACCTCGCTTTTGCTGAGGCTGGCTTTGAATTCACAATCCTCCTTCCTCAGCCTCCTGAGGCGCTGGTATTATAGGCATGTGCCACTGCTCCCTGCTGTGACAGGTTCTTTTCAACAGCTTGGAGCTGGGACATTGTGTGCAGTAGCCTTGCTGGTCACCTTCCCTGGAGCTGCGTTAGAGAGCCCTCTCTCTGCGTTCATGCAGTGGAGTAAAGGAAGCGCAAAAAATAAAGTGGAGATTAGAAGCTTAATAGAGCACCTTGCCACAAGCATGAAAACCCACCTTTTGGCAATAGTAATTGTTTGGGGATATTTTGTCCTTTTTTTCTCCCATCTACGCATGCTGTATTAAAAAAAACAAAACAAAAAAAAAAAAACCTTTGTTTTGTCATGTAATCAATAGGGTCCTCCCCCTTACTGTAATATATTAACACAAAATATTTTAACGAGCAGACATCATACCACACATGGAAGACTGAGACAGGAGGTTCTCAAGTTGGAGGCCAGCCTCAGCAACTTAACAAGACCCTGTCTCAAAATAAAAAAATGGAAAGGGATGGGGATGTGGCTTAGGAGTGGAGCACCCCTGGGTTCAATTCCCTGTGCCCAAAAATGAACCTTTCTTCTATCCTTGTATACTTTGGTGTTTCTGAATTAGTTTTCCCCACCACCGGGCCAGAAACACTTGGCCGTCCTAAGGGCACTGTTTCTCTTTCTCAGTGGTAGGTTTTGGCTCTTTTCCTCCTGGGCTTCATCCTGTGCCCTTGGGGCATTCCTCGGGTCCTTCCTCACCAATGCCCTTCTCCTTTCTCTGTTGTTCTGAGATCTGCTGCCTCAGTGCCTTCTCCACCTTGCTTTTGAGGGTCTAGGGGTGACTTGCTGCCTGGCAGTCTCTGCGACCCCTGACTTCACCTGAGGTTGGCCCTCAGCTGAGCACTTGGTGAAAGGCTCAGCCTGGGGTAGACTGCACAGCCACTGAGGCCCCGGGTGGGTCAGTGTTGTCCCCCAGCCTCTGTGATAAACCCTGCTTTTGTGCTGCTGGGAGCACACAAGGCAATTTCTCACTTTTCCACCAGGTGGCAGCATGGGCCTCTTCAGCAAAGAGCAGGGTAAAAGCAGGCGCTGGCACCCACAGGCCCATTCTGTCCAGAACACCCAGTCCTCCTCAGCAGGGACCACCACAAACTTTTGACGGAGGGACCGAGTAGAGTAGAGTGGGGTTTCTGTGGACTGTGAGTGTTGCTCAGTGGGTGAACATTTGCCTAGTGTGTGGGTCTGGCTTCCCTCCCTGGCACAAAAAAATGAGAAGGTTGGATTGTCAGCGGGTAGTTTTTTTTGTTTGTTTTTGTTTTCTTATGTGTCAGAGATTGAACCCTGGGGTGTTTCAACTTCTGAGCCACATCCCCAGCCCTTTTTATTTTTAGACAGGGTCTCACTAAGTTGCTTAGGGCCTCACTAGTCTCAAACTTGAGATCCTCCTGCCTCAGCCTCCAGAGTCACTGGGATTACAGGCGTGCACCACTGCACCTGGCCAGACTATCTTCTTTATTTCCCCCAAATAAAGTGGGGGGAGGGTACCGGGGACTGGACTCAGAGGCACTCGACCACTGAGCTACATCCTCAGTCCTGTTTTGTATTTTATTTAGAGATAGGGTCTCACTGAGTTGCTTAGCGCTTCCCTGTTGCTGAGGCTGGCTATGAACTTGTGATCCTCCTGCCTCAGCCTCTGGAGCTGCTGGAATTACAAGCGTGCGCCACCGCATCCGGCCCAGTTGTCTTCTTGGTGGATGCTTTTGAGCCACTCCACTCCATCCTTTGAAAAATGGTCATCTAGTGAAACTCCCAGAGGCTAGGCAGCCACATTCCCTTAGTGAAGTCTCCCCTGTGGAGAGGACTGAGGAACAGCTCTCTGCTAGCTAGCCCCTCTCAGTGGTGACTGCAGTGTGGTCACGCCCTGAAGGGCCGCATGGGAAGGCAGGACAAGCACATGGCCAGCTGCTGTTCCTTATGTGATCCACCTTGTGTGCCCCTCACCTGTCCTGAGATCTGCCGGTCCTGGAGGACAGGCCTGTGGGGCCTCAGGCGGTGACATTGTCGGAGCTGGAAGCAGGGCAGCCACAGGGACCTGACCTTTTGGTACCTTTTCCTTGGCTGTCATTCCACTGGTCATTTCATGGCCTTGCTGGGACTCGGACTTTAGGTTCTCCTTGGTAGCCAAAGTGCAGTCCAGGCCAGGCAGAGTGCGGCTTGTAGTTGTTTGGCATTTGGGCTGAACACAGCTTCCAGAGAGCCTTGGGTTTTGTTCACTTCTTTGTCTCTGGATTCCTTTTAACGGCATCTGAGGGAGTGTAAAGGAAGACATGAAGGAGGAAGCTGCCTCTGTCCTCAGCCCTTTGTCCCTTCTACCACATGCTGCTTCCTGGGTCCTCTGTCATTGAGATTCCCTGTGCTGCAGGGGCCTCTGAGCTTAGGGAGTCCTGCTCGGTCACGCCCACCTGGTCCCCTGTGCTCCTGCCAGGATCCATCCACTGTCTCTTCTTGAGCTTGCAGGCTCCTCTCCCCGGGTGGCTTCCTCTTAGGGTCTGCCTGGGCTCGGACAACATAAATAAGGTGGCAGCCTCTACTCTGGTCATCCTTCTTTTGGCCTTGCGTTTCTGCGGGCAAGCCAGACTTACCTTTTATGTGGCTTCAGAAGCCTTTACACGGCGGTGATTGGCCAGCTGTGGCATTCTGGAGGCAGGGTCTGGATCTGAGCTGCTGTGGGTTCTGCAAGGAGCCTTGGCCATAAGAGGAACCTGTGAGGACAGCAGCTCCCCGGGGATCCTCAGGACCCCACTGTTCCCACAAGGATCCCTCCTTAGCGTTTTGACTGTTGGCGTTTGCACTGCTGGTACTAAAGCAATGCTGGGCTGTGGCACCAAGCTGCACTAGCAGCCTGTGTTCTTCACTGCCACCTATTCGCAGGGACAAAAAGCTCTCAAGCCACTTAAGAATGGCCTT